AGTGTTTTCTTTTCTGTGGGAAACGGGTCCCAATGGCTCTTTGAGTGTTTAAGGTTGCCGACCCCTGCTCTAAACTGAGATTTTCCCTGGCATATTTTAAGGTCCTTGTACTCCTACAAATGGATACAAGTGCAAAACTGCATCTCTCTGATTATTTCCTTTAGACCGCTGACCATCCGTGGCCCAAACTGAATATTTTCAAGTGCTGGGATCAAGTCCATGAGGCCATACTTTCTGAACTTCAACACCAGCGTGAAGTATTTCCCAAACCCCACAGAATAAGGATTTCCCATGCATTCAGGGGCACATGGTCTCCCTTGTGTCCGCTACATTTGGCAGCCTGCTCCCATTGCTTTCCAGGCCTCCGGAATTTGGGGGGGGGGGTCGAAGATGTGCAAGCTGCCCCATTTTCCTAACCCTAACCCTAAGCTGAGATTCTCTCTGGAATACTTCCAGGCCTTTGCACTTCCTGGAAATGGACAGAAGTGTAAACCTGCAGCTCTGTCGGTTTCTTTGATCCACTGAACATCTGTGCCACTACTGAAAATTTCAAGCACTCTAGCCAGTCAATCAGGCTACAGTTCCTAAAGGCCAGCACTGGTCTCAAGGTGTTCCAAAGTCTCACCGAATGTGGTTTTCCCATGTATTCATGTCCACCATCCTGATGCAACACTCACTGCCTTCTTCGTATCTGCTACATTTGGCAACCCCCTCCCACTGACTTCCAGGGCTCTGAAGCTCTGCAGGGTACCCCGTTTTCCTAACCCAACTGAGACTTGCCCTGCTATAATTCCAGGCCATTGAACTGCTTGGAAATTGACAGATGTGCAAATCAGCTTCTCTCAGATGGCTCCCTTGGAACACTATCCCTTGTCTATCTCCTGCATTTGGCAGCCTGCTCCCATCGCTTTCCAGGCCTCAGGAGCTGCGCAGGGTGTCCTGTTCCCCTAACCCTAGTCCAAAGCCGAGATTTTCCCTGGAATAGTTTCAGTTCACTGTCCTGCCTAGAAATAGAAACAAGTGCAGAACTGCATCTCTCAGATACCTCCTTTAAACCACTGACCATCCATGGCCCCGACCAAGAATTTTCAAGCACTGGGATAAGCTCAAGAGGCCACGGTTTCTGAACTTCAATGTTACCCTGAAGTATCGCAGAATAGGGATTTCCTATGCTTTCCAGGACATAGGCCCAATGTGGTGCTCATGGTCTTCTTTGTCTCTGCTATGTTTGGCAAGCCAAGGAGAAACTGTGGCCTTTTGCACTGGTCTGGGCACTTGAACATTCTTGATGTGTGGCATGGATGTTCAGTGGTCCAATGGAACTTTCTGAGAGATCTGCTTTTACACTTCTGTCCATTTCCAGGTAGTACAATGGTCTGGAAGTATGCCAAGGAAAAGCTCAACTTAGGGTTAAGGTTAGGAAAATGGAACAACCTACACAGCTCTGGAGGCTTTCCCATGGATGGAAGGAGGACTCCAAACATAGCAAACATACACAAGGTGACAACTGCTGCATCTGACTTGCTCACCTGATTGCCTGGGAAATCCCTGTTCTGTGAGCTTTGTGAAATATGTCAGGCAAGGGTAGTAGTCCAGAAACCGTGGCCTCTTTGATAGTTCCTGGCACTCTTTTGCACTTCAGTCCATTTCCAGGCAGTACAGTGGCCTGGAAGGACTCCAGGGAAAATCTCAGCTTAGTGTTAAGGGTTAGGAAACTCAGGCATCCCGCACAGCTCTCAAGCCCTGGAAGTTGATGTGAGTTGGCTGCCAAACACAGCAGAAGTGAAGAAGCCTGTGAGCCCCACATCCAGCCTGTACACCTGAATGCGTGGCAAAGCCCTTTTCGATGAGATCTGCAAAAAAGTTTAGACTATGGTTTGAGTTTAGAAACCATGGCCTCTTGGACTCCACAAAGTCCATTTTTATTATTTATAATATCTGTATGAGTGTGGGGTACGCTTTTGAAAAAAACTTTTCCAAATCAAAGCTAGCATGACCAAACCAATAAAATCTGCCTAAGCCTGCATACAGCCTAAAGCAGTCACTGTAGAGATTTAACGAAGCAACTTGTACGTCACTGAGGAGCACTTAATTAACCCACCTGACGTGCTTCTCTTGCAAACTCCAACTGCCCCAACACTTTAACAAGTTTCCAGACTCTGGCTCTTTCCTGCCAGGCCACCGAAGTATGGGAAGCACAAATTATAACATGGACTGGATACAGTGCCTCACAGTGGGGTGGGCATAACTCAAGGTGAGGAGACCGTCAAGAGATGCTTCATACTCGGGGTGGCGTAAGGGCTCATCCAGACGCTGAGGCACAAAGGACAGCCTTTCATGGGGTGTGAGCGCCTCACGATCCCGGCTAGCAGGCCACGGCATAAGAACTGCTTCCTTGTGGTTCATTCACACAGGCTACTTGTAACATGTTGACTGCACAAAGCGGTCAAGTGCAGTGGTCAAATGCTCACAAGCACCAACACACTATGCACACCTTTCTCAACACTCACTAAAGTGCCTCCCCTTTCGGCTTCCCCCCCCCCAAGACACTTTTTATTAACAGGTGGAAGAGGTTCAAAGGAGTCGTTTAATGCTTAGACCCCACTTCAGCCTTGAACTTGGTCTTTTGGCAGGTTACATGTCCTTTGCCTTGTCTTCCTTGGCAGCCATTTTGGGGTGCTGCCCAGGACAGTTTATCAAGTTGCTAAATCTGCCCACAGACCAAAAGGAAGCCATTTTTAAAAGAACATTATGGTCTCTGCTGCTTGGCATGGGAATTCAGTTGCTATATGTGCAATTGCCAAGTGTGCCCAGGTACCCACGGGCCTATCTCTGGTCTCATGACATCTTATGCTATGAAAGCTAAGCAGATCTTAGCATGATTCATGCCTGGGAGATTACCTAAGTTTCTGATTTCTTATGGAAAAAGAGAAGAAGCACATGCAGTTAATAATATGCCTGAAGGAAATATGCTAAATGGATTCTGAGCAGGTAATTTTGTAGGAGTGCCAGCACCCATAGAAGGCTGGCCGGGCCTTCCAATTTGCCTCTGTGGCCCTGTATGCAGCCTCAACATCTGCCAGATCCCTAGAGTGGTGGCCTTGCATTTGGTCAAGAGCTGAGGGCCATCTTGAATCCCATCTTGCAACAGGGGACTCGCTTCTCAGTCCCCAGGCATCTGGGGGTAAAGCCTAGTATTAAAGGGGTAGGGCTATCTTCCCAAGAAAACAAAGTGGTGGCCACAACACTTGCATGACCCACCTGAGTGTGGGTCACAGCCTAACTCCAAGCCACCCATGGAAGACTACTAAACTAGAGACAGGGCCCTTTCAATAGCAGCCCCGTATCTTTGGAATTCTGTCTCAGTGCTAACCTCTATTGTTCCATCTTAGATGATTTATAACAAGCCTTTAAAATGTGTCACCTTTAAAAGGTTTTCTATTAAAAGTACTGCAAGCTGTGTGTTTTTTTACTGGGACATTTACAGTGTTTTATAACTGGACTGATTTATTTTTATTTTAAATTTTGTTTTATGCTTTCCATTTTTTAATTTTTATTTTGTAAGCTACTTTAAATATGTTTTGCTCCAAAAGGTGGCCTTTTGGTATTTAAAAGGTATTTAAACGAAAACAAATGAACAAACCTGTAGCTGGGGCTAATACAGACTGCCTCACCAAGACTGCTTGCTTGAGAACCTGCCCATATCAAAAGCCACCAGAACACTGTGAAGCACATGCATTAGAGGGAAGACTGGCAAACTGAAAAATGTGATAAACTTTAAATGCTACATCATCATCATCATCATCATCATCAGTGTTTGCATGGAGGAGGGGAACAAAGACCAAAAATAGTTACAAAAGCAGAATGAAAATCCAATCCACAAACCCATTTAATTTGGTTTTCAAAATCAATGCCTACAGCACACCCCCATCCCAGCTTACTAGGAAGAAAGTCTGTGCTTAACCAGGCCCTGTTGCCTCGTTAGGGTGGGGATCCTTTGCAGTCTTACAGTCTAAGGCAGGATCCCCCAACATGGACTGAAGCACCCATTATTTTGGGCAACAAGGGGAATGTTGGAAGATGCAGTCCAGCACATCTGTTGGGAAAGGGTGGTCTAATGATTCTTCTGTTATTGGAACAAATGGCACATTCTCTTTTCAAATCCTGGCAACAACTAAGGATTTTAATAACATTTAGCAAGTTTTACTGTTTGCCGTGCATTTAATCCACAAAGTGCTTTGGTGCACATGAACTCCTCCTAATTACAGGGCTGGGGATTTTATTGAAATGAAAGGAAAAAAAAAACATTTTGAGAGTTTTGGCTGCTTTCTTTGAAGTTTTGTCTTCAAGAGGAAAGCTCCCCCCCCCACCCCCGAAACGGGTTTGGCTTATCTTTTGATGCAGGAGTCAAGTTTGTTAGAGAGAGAGACTGCTTTTTTCAGACCTACCTGGCCAAACCCTATGGAAAAACCTATAGGAAGAGGAACACGGCCTCGGATCAAAAAGCAGGTCAGCTCTGAGACAGAAACTCCAAGCGCGCGGCTGTGCGTGTGCGTGCACGCGCGCGCGCGCGCGCATATATATGTTAGGGGAGACCCACGTGATAGGAGAGGAAAACGCGGCAGCGAAGCTAGGACAGTGTCAGAGCAGGGCGAGATTGGGATGCGCGGGCGATTGCAGTGGCAGCAGGAGGAGCTGGAGGTCTGAAGTTGCCAGCTTCCCGCGACTCCGCCACTGGAAGGAGCGGAAGGGAAGACTCGCCCAGCGCCCGTGAAGCGAGCGGCGACGGAGCACTCGGGTCGTGAGGAGCTCCAACTTCGCATTAGTTTAGCAGCAGCCGAGGAGGAAGAGCCGAGACTGGGGCTGGAGCTATGCCTCGGCTCGGCTCCCGGGAAGAACACGCTGCCCGCGGCTCCCTTGAGCGCTGCTCCTATGGGGAACCCCGCCGCGCCTGCTGAAGGTAGCAGAGGGCCCCTGCCGCGCCAAGTGGCCGAGCGCTGATGGAGCCGGAGGAAAAGCAGATCTCGGTGTGGATTTGCCAGGAGGAGAAGTTAATCTCGGGGCTTTCGAAGCGCACCACTTGCTCGGATGTAGTGCGAGTACTTCTGGACGACAGCAAGCAGGGGCGGCGGCGGCGGCAGCAGCAGCAGCAGCTGGGTTCGCTGCAGGAGTGCGGAGGGGGGATGCTGTCGGGGCCCCCGCACTCGTACTGCATCGTGGAGAAGTGGCGTGGCTTTGAGAGGATCTTGCCCAACAAGACCAAGATCCTGCGCCTCTGGGCGGCCTGGGGCGACGAGCAGGAGAACGTGCGCTTCGTGCTGGTGCGCAGCGAGGCATCCCTGCCCAACACGGGGCCCAGGAGCGCCGAGGCCCGGGTGGTGCCCAGCAAGGACAGCCCGTGCCAGCATGGCTTGGGGGCCGCAGCCCGGCGGGCCAGCCTGGCGCTGAGCCAGGAGCGGCAGCGCCGCGTGGTGCGGAAAGCCTTCCGCAAGCTGGCCAAGATCAACAAGCGCAAAGGGGGGCAGCCGCCGCACGAGGAGGAGCCGCCGGCCAAGGAGGCGTCGTCGTCGGCCGCCGAGAGGATGGAGACCCTGGTGCACCTCGTCCTCTCGCAGGACCACACCATCCGGCAGCAGATCAAGCGCATCCGCGACCTGGATCGGGAGATCGACCGCTACGAGGCCAGGATCCACTTCGACCGCATGAAGCGCCACGGAGTGAACTATGTGCAGGACACGTACCTGGTCGGGGGCGAGCTGGAGCCCCCCGACGGGGAGGCGGAGCCGCCGGCCGAGGAGGAGGAGGCGGCTGAGGAGGCGGCGGCGGCGGCCGGCAGTGGCTCCGAGGGGGGCTTGGAGGAGTACGCCCGGCAGTGCGAGCAGGTGGTGCTGCTGCAGCAGCAGTGGCGCCGCCAGGAGGAGCTGATCGAGCAGCTGGCCGGCGAGATCCAGGAGGAGCTCAACGAGCGCTGGATGAAGCGGCGCCGGGAGGAGCTGGCGGCCGCCAGGGGCTCCAGCACGAGCCTCTCCTCCGACGCGGACTGCAACACCACCGAGCTGATCGGCGGCGGCGAGCTGCACGTGGAGCAGGAGCGCGTGAAGACGCAGCTCAGCACCAGCCTGTACATCGGGCTGCGGCTCAGCACCGACCTGGACGCCGTCAAGGCCGACCTGGAGTTGACGCAGCACGCGTGGGCCGACAAGGAGCGGGAGCTGCGGGGCCTGCTCGACAGCCTGCGGATCCTGGACGTGGACGGGGACGGGGACGGGTGCGAGGCGCCCCAGCCCCTCCCGCTCCCGCTCGCGCAGGACAGCGAGGGACCGGGCCCGGGCCCGGCCGAGGTCACCTCGGGGGCGGAGATCTGGGGGGAGCAGGCAGCCCGGGGCTTGCGCAAAGACTGCGAGGACAACGACGAGGATTCCGACACGGGGCTGAGCTCCATGCACAGCCAGGACTCGGACTCGGTGCCCGTCTGCGAATCTCTGGTATAGCAGCAGCTCCGTTTCTCCTCCATCGCATCGTCTCAGGGACCGCAGCGCTGTGCTTCTCCTTGGTTTTGCCTTCGGTGCAGTATGTCCCCGCCTTTGCAAAAAACGCTGGGATGGGGAGGGGGATAACTGGCTTCTTTGCCCCCCTTCTCTCTCTCGTTCATTTTTTAGAATAATACTCAACGAGTGTGTTTTCAGCCTCATCCAGTATCACAGTAACAGTAATCATGATTAATTTTACTCCGTTTGTGACCGACCAATTACCTCCCTGGAAGTATAGCATACATTTCTACCGAAAGAAAGCAAGCCTGTATTTTTCTTCATTAAAGAAAGATTCCATCCTACTTTTCATTTTAAACTCCTAAAGCAAAGAAATGGGCTGCATTTTGCTACATACTGACTGCAGAAGAGGTACTTGGTTCTTTAAAGAAATACTTTTGGGGACAGGAGATTAAATTGTATTATAGCCATTTAATGGAAATACCTTGTGTCTTAATTGCTGCTTTGACATAGAGACATGTTAAAGATAGTCACTGGCAGGCAGTCCTTAATCTGTCTCATCACTACTTTTAACTTTTAGTTAAAAAGAATTTCATTCAGTATTGGAACTGCCTGTTTCTTTACATTCAGTGCTCTTTATTTCACATCAAAATTTTTATTTTTGAATAGAAGTTCTAATCCCTGACTTAGCCATTGTAACTATGGGGCAGTATGCATTTCTTCATATCTTTTGTTTAATTAATCTGTTTTCTACTGGAAGCAGAAAGTTCAGCATCTTGGTCTTTTCCATATAACACACAGGCAGCTATTTAGCAAATAGCACAGCGACTTCGCCTGAAACAGTTAGTTTGGTCTTCTGAGAAAAATGAAATAAAACCATAGATGACACAGTAAGAACACTCTGGGTGATTAATAACCAACATGCAAGAATGTCTTATTAACAGAACATTTGGAATAGATTCCAGTTTATGTCCAGCTGAGAAATGTATGCCTGCATAGCAATTGATATACGCACACAATGCTCACAGATCATGGGAGCAGTGCAAGATCTGGGGCACTTTGAATGCTTGTGACAAACTACTAAAGGCAAATGAAAACAAAAACAAGCTGCAAAAATTATGCTGTTTCTACTGCTAAGAAAAAGGATTCTGGATGAACAAGATCTGTGGTAATTTGCTCAAACCCCTGGGAAGAGTGTTGGAAAAATTAAGGTTGTGATCCTGAATGCATTTACCTGGGAGTAAGCCCCATTTAAACAGCTCAAAGTAGACACACATAGGATTTGGTTATAATGCCTCTAGTAGGCTTATTTATAGAAACAAGTGGAGTGTCAAGAGTACTGGAATCGGGCTCAGAGATGTTGGATTCTAGTCTCCACGCAGTTAAGGCACTCGCCGGGTACCCAGTCGCAAACTGTCGGCCTCAACTACCTCGTAGAAAATATAGAGGAAGGGAACCTTGTAGGCTGCCTTGGGTTGCTTGCAAGAGGGAGAAAGGTGAGCTATAAATGAAATGTAGTAATAGTAATATTTTTTAACTGAGATCATCTCAGTGATGTCAGCTGTACAGAGAGCCTATGGCTAGTGGGGTGGCATGCAAACTGAATAGAATAAATAAACCTAAATGGGGCCTTCCTGTAGGCATTTGGTTATGCTGTCCAGGGCTTATGGGAATTGTGGACCAGAGCATGGAAATACCAGAAGTTGCCCGTCCTTCTCCTGAAGTTACTGGACAGTAAGGGGCGTTCCAGTGCCTTACCTTAGCCATTTCCCAGTGCTCTCCAAGGGATGTCCCACTGTCCCAAGTCATGTAGCAGCAAAATGCAAAACCTTCAAATAGGTGTGTGGTGGGGACTTTCTGTTGTTTGTTTTGTTTTAAAGGAATTTAAACACATTCAGAATTGGGTAACAAATGGAGTGCTATCTTTTTGGCTGATTTTCACCAGGACTGAGGCACAGGTGGAAAAAATTAACCTGGTTTTTCCTGGGCAATATCCTGTTCAAAGTTACTATTTAGCCATTGATTAGTGTGACTCTCATAGGAAATAGCAGGTGGAAGAAAACTCAGCCTCAGTGGCAACTTTAACTGTGACCATGAACCAAAAAACTATTTCAGACACATCTGAGGAATTGCAAGTTTCCTTCCTCAGACAATGGATCCCCTGCTTTGGAAAGTCCTCATGGTTTCAAAACTGGTTTCGGCAGCATTTTGAGAAACACCCGTCTCAGAGCTTTTTTGCTCATGTGGAGCTGGGCGCAGGATTATTCAGAAGCAGTAAATTTCACATCCCATTTATGGAACTATCTTTCACTTTGCGGTTACAATGGCAGCTGCAGTTATGCATTCTGGGAGGAGTTGGTAGTGATAGCCCTGTACTTTTTGTTCAGCTTCCCATAAGCTGGATCCTGATAGATGTGTTGGACTACAAATCCTATCCTCCCCAGCCAGATTGGGGAAGGCTGCTTCAATGCTACCGCAAAGGAAAATGAGCAGGCAGGAGCCAGAAATGTTCTCAAAGTGTAACAGCCAAAAGCATGTAAAAAGACTATTTTGACAGCTGATTCTGGTCGTGGATTAAAATAGCAGCTTGAACAATACCCCCCTCCAGAACAATTTTAAAATAATACTTAGATACTTGTATAAAGAGAACATAATGTTCATAAAGAAGACATAATTTTGTATGAAACAGTGGATATGTACAGACATCAGTAAAAGCTCTACTCACAAAACTAAAACTAAATACTTTATTCTAATGGAAATCTCATTAAACTACATACACAGTATTCAGGATTTCAGTGGTACATGATGTCAACATTCAGATCAAGCTAGTAATTTGTTAGAGATTGTTTTGACAAATAATGTGATTTTGTAACATTAATGCAGCTTATAAAATGCACATTTACTATATTCCTAAGTCGAGTAACAGAATGGAAGGGGGAAGTAGTTGGTTAAATTTGGTGGTGCCCTAGCAGAAATCTGCCAGTATGATAGGATTTTTTCCCTTCTCCCCACCTGGGCCCTCTGTACCACCTGAAAATTGGCTCTGGAGGGTTTCCCACACCTCCGGAGCAGATTTGGAGGGTGTGCAAGGGGAGGTCACGTCCTTCCAGTTCCACTGGTGAAGCTGTTTCTGTTGATCGCATAACTATGTTGGTTACCATCTAGTGTCTCTAGAATGCTAACGTTCTTTATTTCAAGGCTTCTAATCTATGCACACTTGTGTAGGAGTTAGTTGAATTCCGTATGATTTATCTCCAAACAAACACACATAAGATCACGCTGCAAGATTTGGTTACTAGGAAGTTGGTTTCCCTGATACGTACCTCTGAGTAAATATAATTAGTACCAGGCTCTACCTTATTTGAACTTAGGTTTTTCTTTTTTTAAGGAGCAGGTAAAAAGTCCCCTAAGTTGTCTTTGGGTAGTAGCATTACATACTCACTTTACACAATGTAAAAATGGAGAGAAGCAGAGAAGCAAGTCGGTTCTGTCTAGGAAAACAGCATGTGAATTTATGGCTTGGGGAAAATTGTACCGAACAGTTTGCAGAATAAAAAGAGTTGGGTCTACCTAGGGAGATGGTAGTGGCACTTCAGATGCCTAGTGGACATGGTATGGAATCACTGCAGTACTCAAAGCCTGATCTTCGCTATTGCCATTTTTTTTTTTTTTAAATTGTGCTTGTAGTATAAGGGCAGTGGTGAATTTGACAGACAGGCAGAAATTATGGCTAATACATGTAGCTAAGAAGATGACGACCCATACAAATAAGATTAAGGGTGAGGGTAACTCTTTTGTTCCCTCCCCCCGCCCCACACGCACAACAGATGCTCACAAAACTTGGTTAGGCCCAGAACCTTAACCTAATCAGCCTGTTACTTAAAGTGCTTTTAGAAGACTTGTTTGAGGGTGGAGACCATTTTGGTTTGTTGTATGATTATAACTATTACAGGCATAATGGGCAGGTAAGAAATGCGGCTGAAAACAGCGTCCGGTTTTTTAACCTACTTTTTGTGAAGTCTCTTCTAAGATACACTACCAAGCACATAAAAAAAAACCACATGATAGAAATAGAAAGTGGCAACAAAATATGTGACAATGTGCTCTTAATATCCATAGTCGGGGTGTTGTGAAATGCGAAAAGAAAGGCACAGAAGCCAAGAAGCTGAAAGGTTGGGAAACAAGAAGCTTGCGTCGTGTTCTTGCCTAGTTCTTGCCTAGCACTGACTGTCCAACGGAGCAAAATTTCTGCATTGGACTGTAGTGCATTCTCATCTCAAAATGACTGCAGACCAAGCATAGCTTTGAAGAAGGAGGCCGGGCCAGGCCAGCATATCTACAGCTGATTCCATGGGTATTCAAGACAAGAAAGCTTTTTGTACTGTAATATGGCACAACCCACACTGAGTCCTTGAGTATCCATGTCAAATACTCTTCTTGTTGGTACTGAAAGTTAGAGATAGCCATTGTTTGAAGCTGAATCAGTTTGGTGCACCCTCTGCCTGTGTGCTGTCTAATTCATTATCTTTTCTTCAGAGACCATATCTATTAACTTGAGAAGTGTAATCCCTTACTGCCACTGTGCTTATTTCACAGGCAGAGCTTAGTGTTTTGTTTTATTCACAATTGGTTTGCCAGATGTCTGCTGTCCAAATTGGTACTTAGAATTAGGAATTGGGACTCGGAAAAGCTTGCAGAACTGGAGGAACAAGGTGTGGTGGTGGGGAACAAGCACAGAGCTTGGACTGCCACACGATCCCTGGCCATTGTGGTATTTTTCCCTCCTAAACCGGGGGGCTTCACCTCCTCTGTTGAGGAATCACTTGAGTGCTGGCAGGACATGTTTGCCTGAAGCAGAGCATGCTGGAACCCATTCTGGGGCACACGCTCTTGGAACAGATCAAACACTTGCCTGCAACTCTGGATTTTAAAGCAAGATCATCACTAGTTGCGGACAAACCTTTAAGGGATGGGCCATAGCTCAGTGGTAGAGCACACGCTTTACCTGCAGAAGGTGCTAGGTAGGGCCTGGACATGCAGAAGGTGCTTGAAACTCTAGAGAACCTGTGCTTTTTAGTATAAACAATACTGGGCTGCACAGACCAGTGATCTAGGCAATATAAAACAATTTCCTGTCTAAGCTGGCTTTTGAGGAAGCTTGTTGGTCTGTATTGATCTTTTTATTGAGGTCACCCTGATAATTTCCTAGGATTCCCCAGAGCCTTGTTGCAAAGCAATTGGAAAACAGATTCAGGGGTCTTCTTCAGGGGCCACAATTCATGTTCTTGTAAGTGACCTTATTTTTAACTTCATCTGAGCCAGAGGATGAGACCAGATGCATTTTAGGTTTTGCAAAGGAGCTGCTAGTTCCTAAGAGGGCTTTCAGCTATGTGTGATGAGTTCCTTCCTAAACGTACCTGCCATGCTTCCAAAGTTCATCAATGTGTCCTGAATCATATTCTCACACATTGAAAGCTGGTATGATGAAGTGGGTTAGAGAGCTGATCATGAAGCTTCATGGGTGACACCAGGCAAATCACCATCTCTATGGAATCTAGGAGCCAAAGCACTTTAGGTGGCTAACTACAAATTGTGTTCTTGTTCTTTCCTAGTCGAAACAGCTGAGAAAATAGATAACGTCTTCATACAATGCATGACTAATTTACAGAACTCTCCCACCAAAAGATGTGATGGCACTGGAGCCAAACTACATGTTACATTATTCCTCTTTTTTTAAGGGCCATACTATATGTAACAGTATTTGTCCTTTTCCTAAAAGCGTTCTTAATCCTGCTACTTTCATTTCTAGGGGAAAGCAGCTGCATGGCCCCTGGTGTGGTGGTGCAATGCTACAACGCACTTCTCCAGTGTGTCCTCAAGAATCCCCGCATCCATAGTTGTTGTTTGCATGGAAGGCGCTGGGCTAGGAGAATAAACAGCAGTTGAGAGGAGAGATTTGGGGCAGGTACCCAACAAGAGCACCAATGGAGGCTGTGCTCCACTGCTTTCTTTTGAAATAAAAGTGGCAACGTTTATCATCACACTTAAAATTGTGCCTAGCTTAACACGTAGTTTGGCCCCCGGACAGCTTTAAAAAGGGATTAGCTGGATGAGAAATGTCTAGGCAGCATTAGCCATAATGGCTATAAGGAAACTCCAGCTTCAGAGGCCACATATGAGATGCCGAGCAATAATGGGCATTAATTATTGCCCATTAATTAAGAGCAATGGTCTTAATGGGAGAGAGCAATGGTCTGGCATCAGCCAAAGGCAACTAGCTGGCTGTTGGGAGAAGCAGGATTCTGTATGGGATGCACTTGTTCTGGTCTAGCGGGGCAGATCTTGTGCCCTGATGCTACTCTGCATTGTTCTGTGAAGCCATTGGGCGACCCCATGCTTGACAACCTGAGCACTCCTTGGAGGAAGGGCAGGAACACAGATGAGAGGTAAATAAGTTACTCCCTTATAGCAGCCTACAGAGGCCGCACAAGGTCATCTTATGGAGTTTGAAGAAAGCCCAGTGGGGGGTTAGGAACGGTGACCCTGTGGGCAAGTGTCCCTCTTGTCCAGTCCACTTGTAATTCTAGTACACTGAATTACACTGTCACAGGCAACTTTAAATCTACAATTTCCATGCATGCTAACTAGTGTAATGTGATAAAAACAAGGTAGAGAAGATCAAAGGCCATTTTTTGTGCTAGACCATGATTATTACCTTTCCCAGCCTCTTCTGTGTATTCTTTCTTTGTTGACCCAAATGAAAGGGAGCTGAAGGTTTGGCTGAGAACAGAGGTTGGGAAAGAATGTTTTTCTGTTGTCCCAGATGGCTACACTACAGAAAATACTATGGAAAAGTAGGATTTACTGTTTATCCATTAGGAGAGAAGGCTGTGTACAAGAGAGAACAAAACTCTGTGTGTGTGTGTGTGTGTGTGGTGGGAGCAGGGTATAATGGACTGAACCTGCTTCTTTGTGCATATTGACAACAGACAAGCATTCTAAAACAACAGCAGAACGAGCAAATTTTTTCAGGATCCTGGCACATCAGTGAGCCCTTTGAGCATTCTGCATGATTCCTGTTTCCCATGCCGTATGCAGCTGCCATGAAAATGCTGAGGGCACAAGAGACGCTGTAGGACAGAAGGTAGAGTAAGATCTGCGACTAGATCTCTGGGAGACTTGCAGTAGTTCAGCAAAGGCTTCTCACTCCCAGTAGTTTCGCAACAGTGAGTAAAATGAGAAGGTTGTCGTGGTTGGTCTTGGACTTATCTCTTGGCCTTGCTGATTCTCATATGTCAACTGGGGAGACGAACTGGTTGTCTTTGACCAGGTTTTTGTGCATTTCTCCTGACAGCTTAGATGTAGATTGGGTTTACACACACACACACACACTCTCTCTCTCTCTCTCTCTCACTCGCAGTAGATGACTGATTCCATTGCACACCCTTCCAATGCACATATGCAAGCAAGCACACTAATATGCACCTGGCCCATAACATGTAAGATTCTTGGCCCTGCGTAAGATCAAAGCAATGATTCATGCATCCTAAAAATGGTTGTCCGGGCCAGTTAACCAAGAACCTATGATGCAATCTGACAATCTTAAAAAACAATTCCATTGCCTTCTCTATCTTTTAGGAGAGACGGGGTGGTGAACCAATCCACTTGCTTTACTAGAACAAGTGGAGGCAAACCTGACTTGTGCATGAGAATCCCATTAAGAAAAGGCTTTTGAACCAAGCCCTACATTGCTGATCATGTTTGAAGAT